GCCCAGAGGATGCTGGGGATGATGTCGGGGGGCAGTGCCTAGGAGGTGCTGGGGGGAGGCTGTGGGGGGTGGTGCCTAGGGGGCGCTGGGGGGATGATGGGGTGAAATTGGGGGGGGGCAGTGGCCCCGGGCCCCACTTACCTTCCCGTTGCTGCTGCTGCTGCGGGGGCGGCTGCTGCGTGAGGATGGCCGGCTGCTGGGGGAAGGCCGGGCTCACCAGCCCGTAGGCAGCGGGGTAGGCGGCTGGTGCAGAGGCAAAGGAGGGCGTGAGCGACCCCTCGGGCTGGGCCTACGCGCCCCCAAGGGGAGGATCTGGGCCCAGCCCTGAAGCCTCCATCGCTGGCCCAGCTCCCTTCCCCCGCTGCTCCCCACTCCCCCTGTCCCCCCCAGGCCCCTCCACCCGCAGGGAGCCCCCGCCCCATAGCCTCCATCCCCCAGGCTGCCCACTGCCCCCCACAGCCCTGGGGGGTGAGGCCAGCACTGCCACGCCCTGGTGCTGCTCAGACCTGGTGCCAGCGCCCGCGACGTCCCACCATGTGGCTACCTCCAGCCCCCACCCCCGCCCGGGGCCCCTTCCAGCCCCCCCAGCCCCGGGGCGGGGCGCCAGACCTGTGTAGTGCTGCATCCCGGCGTAGGCCTGCTGCAGGGGGTCCACGGGGGCGGCCGGGCTCTGAGCTGCGAGGGGAGAGAGGGGGGAGGGGGTTACCGGGGAGCCCCTGGCTGAGCCGGGGCGGGGGGAGCAGGCAGGGCGGGGGTGGGGTGCGTACCTGGGTACGGGTGGACCCCGTTGGTGTAGAGGGCCTCGGAGGCCGGCTGCCCCGTGGTCTGCGTGGGGACTGGGCTGTAGCCGTTGACGCTGAGCGTGGCCGGGATGGCGGACACAGGGGTGGCGGCGATGGCGGGCGGCGTGCTGGTACCTGCGGGCGAGAGATGCGGTGGGGGGTGGGGTGGGGCGGGTTCTGGGCCCTCCCCCCACCCATGAGGAGATCCCAGCTGGGTGCCAGCTCCCGGCTCGCCCGTCCCCCCCTCCCCCTCTGCAGCCTGCCGCTCGGGCGGGGCTTTGCCCACTCCGCTGGCTCCCTGGCGTGGCCCCTCCTCGGCCAGGAGGGGTTGGCATGGGAGCCTGGCCCGCGCCGGCCCTACCTGAGGAGGGGGTGAGGGGCGTGAGGGGCGTGGCGATGAGGCCGTTGGGGTTGATGGTGGCCATCTGCTGCATCTGGACGGCCGCCATGGTGGCCATGGGGTTGAGGTAGGCGGAGTGAGCAGCGACCAGGGCTGCCTGCTGCTGCATTAGCTATAGGGGGAGAGAAAGAGACGGGGTGGGGGGGGTCAGGGGGCATCCGCTGGGCTGCTGGGGGGATGGGGGAAGGCCTGTCTGCAAGGGCACAAGGACTGGGGGGGGACATGACCCGCTGTCCCGGCCCCTCCAGCTCTGCCGGTGCCCCTCAATCCTGACCCGCAGCCCCCTGCTGTCCCCGCCCTGGGCTCCCCCCATCCCCCAGCTTTGCCGGTGCCCCTCAACCCTGACCCGCAGCCCCCTGCTAGCCCAGCCCTGGGCTCCCCCCATCCCCCAGCTTTGCTGGTGCCCCTCAACCCTGACCCGCAGCCCCCTGCTAGCCCAGCCCTGGGCTCCCCCCATGTCCCTGCTGAGAGCCCAGCGCCCACGTTGGTGGGGAGCCCCTTACTGCTTGGGTGTAGGCGCTGTAGGCCCCGAACTGCAGGGCGATGGGGCTGAACATGCCCAGCTGGTTGGCCACCTGCTGCATCCGGCGCAGGCCCCGCTCCTTCTCCGTGTCGGCGAATTTCACCACAAGGCTGGAGGAGGCGCCCTGGGAATGGAACCCCCCCCAGGGGGGCTAGTGAGACAAGCAGACCACGGTGACTCCCCCACCCTGCCCCGTCTGGCCCCCGCCCCCACTGCCTCAGCCAGCCAGGGTGACCCACAGGCCCCGGCCCTCCTTCTGCAGTCTCTGTCCCTGGCAGCCTTCTCGGGAGCGTGCAGGGGCAGGCTCCCCTCCTGTGTTAGGTACCTGCTCCAACTCCCTCCCCCGCAAGCCTGGGATGATCTCAACCCTCTTCAGGTCATAGGGCCTAGTGGATAGAGCACCGGCCTAAGCGTCCAGACAGCAGGGTCTCTTCCTGTCTCTGCTGCCCGACGAGCTTGGGCAAGTCACTGCCCCCGTCCATGCCTCAGTTTCCCCAACTGTTGAATGGGGCTAATGATCCCAACCTCGTTTGCAAAGGGCTTTGGGGTCTCTGCATGAGCAGGGCTTGGGATCAGAATGACATGGGGGCGGGGCAGGAAACGAGCTGCCCGTCCTGCCCACGTTTTCGAGATTCAGAACAATGTTCCCTGCCCCGACTCGGGGTGAAACGTTGGAAAAAATGTTCCTTTCGGGGCAGTCGAGACGTTTGGTTTCTTGGATCGACGGATTTCCAGCTCACTCCGACGCGCTCACGCCGCAAACGCCAAAGTCGCCTCGACCCAGAAAACGGGCGGTTTTTCACCGCAGGAACGTGGAAGAGGGACGTTCGGACGCTTCCCCACCGTCATTTTCCCACGTGGAGAAATTGGTCCCAGTCCAGCTGTTCCCATGGCAATGGGGTCGCCCCGTCGGCGTTTTTCAACTAAACACCGTTTTCTCGGAACATTCCCGACTGGCTCTCGAGGCCACAGTGGCGAGCTCGGTCCATCAGGGGGCAGCAGAACCTCAGGCAGCATCCTCGCCCCCTGCCCTGGCACCGAGCTGGGTCCCTTCCAGGTGGCGAGTCTAGGGGGGGCTGAGATTTGGAGCTGCCCAAATGAGAGGGTGCGAGAGGCAGAGGGGCTGGAGAGCCTTGGATAGGCAGAGGGGGTCCTGCTGCCCTGCTGGACCCATGCCTCGGTGCTCGCTGCTGTGTGGCCCATCTGGTGCCCGACTGAGGCTGCAGGGGGGATCGGAGGCCTGGAGGCAGGAAGGCCCTGTGGGGACCACACAGCCCATGCCCCTCGGAGTCCCCAGGGGATGGGGGTGTTGGAGCAGAAGAGGCCTGGGGGGGGTCTACATTCCCAGCCTGGGCAGACAGACTCGCGCTAGCTGGGCTTCAGCTCAGCTGGCATGCTGGGGCGGCGATTCAGACTCTGGAGTCCCCCTGGTCCCCCGGCTCTGAGCTCAGGTGGCGGGAGCCTGCATCTCTGCCAGAGCCGCGACCTCCACCCGGCTGGCAGCGCGCTGGCTCGGGCCACACTGGTGCAAATCTGTCCACCCGCGCGGGCTGGCTCCCAGCTGCAGGGTAGACGGGCCCTGGGCGTTCCCAGGACGCTGCCGAGGAGCAGACAGACAGACCCGGCATGGTTCTCCGACATGGTGGGGGGGGGGGGAAGGGCTCAGAGGGGCCTGGATCTAACCCCGCAGTGTCTCAGTGGGCAGGGGGACCACGAGTACCATGGGGGGTGGGTCCAGCCGGGTCGGTGAGTGCCCGGGGGTGTCCAGCCGGGTCGGTCAGTGCCCAGAGTCTGCCTTGGGAGATGAGGGGTCTGGGGCACTGGGTCTAATGCTGAGCTCCCCACTCAGGGCCATGCCAGGAATTACCCCCCTCTCAGCCCCCCCCCCGAGTGCCGGTGCGCCCGGCCGGGCCTTACCGGCAATGTCCGGCTGCCATGCAGCGTGTTGATAGCGGCCTGAGGCTCGGCGTGGGTCTGGAACTTCACGAAGGCGCAGCCTGGGGGGAGAGAGAGTCAGTGCAGTAGGGGGGAG